ACATGTAATTGCGATGAATTTATATATTATTCTCCTCGATTAATCAATAAAATGTTATTGATTCTCAAACATTAAAACATTGAATCATGAAAACAATCACATGCTAATAGATCCACCATGCTGGATAGCAAAATACCTACTGGAATGTTCAAAACCAAAGAGAAAAGTCAAGTTTATTTTAATATTTTGTGGTTGTTTACATACATTCATTTGCCATCCAGTATCAYGGCAGATTTAGTACCATGATGTGACTGTTTCGTGCAAAAAAAAAACAAAAAATCTTAGTATAAGAAAGCTTACCAGTTTCTTCTAAATAATTGATGATCTGAAAGAAAAAAATAAATTATWCACTGTAAATGGTGTCATATTAAATTAGATTTAATGGTAAAGTATGCACAAATCTTGACTGTTGTTCATATTAATTTGATTGCATACTGTTTAATTACCTCTTGTAGGAATATAGGAACTTTTGTGTGAACACCTTTAGCTCTGTCATGTTGGACCATGTATTGTAATGGTACRCCAAATATACCTGACTCTGAAATGGAAAAAAATTACATCAATCCTTGAAATAATTGTAGAATACCATCGGATTGCTTGCACAGCAATAGTTGAGTRTCGCGATCTCTTTTACGCTGTGTTAGCCTCAATTGTGATTGTGTGCTAAAATATTCAGAAATGTAGATAAAACTCGTGAGATTTCAAACTATTTCCATTGTCTTCTATACCCACGAATCTCTTGCATTTGCACGGGCTGTTGTGAATAAAAGAATTTATTACAACATGGTTTTGAGGCTAACACAGCGTAAAAGAGATCGCTAAAAGGGTTTATTCAAACGGCAGTAAATACATGTAGTTTTGTTTTTTTTAGCTGTGTTGTCATATTTTTACCTTTAACTTTTCTTTTGACAGGTTTTCTCCTATGAAGAGCAATTCCATGGGAATCAAACAATGCCGTGAGCTCAATAAGAGCAAGAGATCTGACTTTCTCCATATCCTGTTTGCTGATGTCTGATATGTGAGTGACTCCTAACTCATCTTTGGTTAAAGTGTAATTCTAAAAACAAAAATCATCACTTAGAAACATTATATAATATAATGTGTACCAACCCTAAAGGGATTGAAGAGGATCAAGCAGAAAATAGGTAGAAGGAAAAGGACAGGCCTTCCAGATACATAGTTTTTGGTTCTCATAATATTTTGACATCATCTTTTAATACTATCTAACACACAGAAATATGGAATATCTTTGTTCAATAATGCTACATTAACAACAATGAATGCCTTCTATCAGTGCTTTCAATAATAGGCGGCTACTGGCGGTATACCGCCGCCTATTTTACCTCTTACCACCGGTTATTGTGTCTTCCTTAATAAATTAATTTGGTTGTAAATTTTTGTTTATATTAATTACCTTTCTGTCGATGTGTTATATATATATATATATATATATGATATAAACGGAATAAAAGTTAATTTTTTCACACGAAGTTTGTTCCTAGCTCGTTTCGATTCTTTTGATGACTTTTGCATGTTCTATGTKTCAGCGRTTTACTTTTTACCAGCCTCGTTTTCAAAATAAATTCCAATATGGCGGCAGAAAGCGAATTTTGCAACTCATGTTCGGACTCTGAGTGAGTAATGTTCAAATGACATGCAATAGGTACAGGAGCTATCATCAATTCCATTATTTTGAGTTAAGAAAGAAATAAAGTTGTGACAAATCCTGTCATTTTTTAAATTTTCAGTGCTAATTTTGAATGTGTCAAATATATATCAGTTACTTGTAAAAAATAAAGCATAAGAACTATGATGACGAAAGTGACAGTGACAGTACATAAGTAGATTAAAGTGGTCCGAAAATTAAGTAATGTTTCCTTGTAGTATCAAATATTTTCTCTCATAACAATACTACAGGGACGACGGAGCAGGGGGGGCTGCTCTCTGTTTTTTACAAAAACGAGATTTTTTCCGTGTAAGTTAGAATGCAAAAAAAAAATCGAAAAAGCAAAAATAAAATAAAAAATGTCCAAAAAATAATTGTCAAAGTCACTCAAAATGCTGGAAATCGCATCTCTGGCGTTCTCAATTTCAAAATTTAAGCTGAAATTGCTTGAAAATGCATCCGAGAGTCTAAATTTCAAAATTGGACACAGACGCTTACTTTTAGCCCCCAGCYGCCTACTGTAAATATTATTGAAAGCTCTGTCTATATGTACATAACATTTACATTTTGAACAAAACAACAGCATGTTAATTTAGCACCTACCGGTAATTTTGGAAATTGCGGTGGAGCGAAGCGTTTTTGACGATGTGAATGAGAATTCTATTAAAATGAGAAAAGAAAATATTCAATATCAAATACGTCAACAGGAACATCGACAGGTACATCAACAGGACACTCATGAATGACTTCAGGTTCTGCATCTGCAGTACTCCCTGGTGATACACTGGGGTCCTTGAGGTTTAATCTAGGATCCACTAAGTCATCTACAACAGATTCTTTTGTCTTTTCAGCTGCRTTGAATAGTTCTTGTTTTGATAAACCAGTTACATAAAATACAGAACCGTGTTGGTGCTTTGTTTGCTGGACACCTAAAGAAAAAAAATAAGGTTTTGTACAAATTTACTAACTAAACTTGCATATAACTTTTAACTGCTTTGTGTTTGTTTTAAAAATGATATAATACTTTTATCTTTCAGTTTTTGGCAAAAAATAAAATATCAACTAGTAGGCAATGTACGTGCAGAAACCATTTTGTGCGAAAGCATGGTAGTTTCTTAGTACTCTCACTTATTATACATGTAGATCCTAATATCTCCATCAAAACAACATCCTAGAAAAGCATACATTTCAGAAGGACTGTTTTAGCGGACATGAAAAAGTGTGAGGACTACAAACACCATCATGCTTTTTGGCAGAAAATGGCGTAGCTGCACATTGCCTATTCATCAGTAATGAATTGAATACTCCGACGACTTGATGCTAAACCCCAAGAAATTCAATATTTATCAAACAAAACAATGCTAGTCACAGCCAAAAAATAACACCGTACCTGCAGCATGCACTCGAACATCTTCACTTCCTCTACGGTCGTCAGGAGGCACAGACCTACTGGGACTCACTTTTTCTTTACCATAAGAACCATGACCATTGACTTCGGCAAGGGAAGAATACTTCCCTGCAATACCCAAGTTACCAAAATTATCACTACTTCCTCCTCCTGACTTAATCAGGCTCACCCCCTCACTGATAGCTCTCCGTGGTAGTGAAGGGCGCGATATACTACTCAGCTGTTGTACTTTAGCACTTGTAGAGCTTGTAACGGTTACAATATTGGCCGTTGCTTTGGCATTTGTCTTTGGTGATGTTACATTRATCAGCTGTGGAACAGTGGGAGCATCATTGGTGCTTTCTGTGCTTGAGCTGAGATATGAATTACTGGGCTGCCCGTTTGTTTGCACGGGGAATATTGTACGSACATCTGCATGGTTATATTTTGAAGTTGTTGGGGCAGCAGGGGATGTTGGGATACCAAGTTTTCTCTTAGTGTTGTCATTGAGAGTGTTTATTCTTTTCCTGACAGCTTCAGCCTGTTTGCGGGTAAGTGACGACGTTATTTCCTGCACGACRGCATCATCAGGGTCTATTTCTTTGCTGTCTATAAAATGGTAAAGGAATCAATTGGTTATGTTTGGTTGAGAATATYAAGTAA